AAAGAAGGCTCTCTTTATGGGAATCACTCATGGAGTGAAGGGATTCCGCGTTTGGTGTTTAGACACCAAGAAGATAATTTGTAGCATAGATGTTACCTTTGATGAATCTGCCCTAGTAAAGAAGGTAACAAGTGAAGCTGTCTAGACAAGTAGTACTCCGCAGCAGGTGGAGCATACTCCAAAACAGGTGGAGTTTCAGCAGATGAAGATCCCAGAAGTTGATGCAGCTGATTCTTCAACTCCAATAGAAGAATCAGAAGATGAAGAGGTTCAAACCCCAAGAACCATTGGAGACACCAGAAACACTTGCAGTTACAAGGCCAATGAGAGAAATTCGTAGACCTGCTTGATTTGTTGATATGGTGGCCTATGCTCTTCCAGTTGTTGATGATGATATCCCTATCACTTACCAAGAAGCAATACAAAGCTTGGAAAGTGATAAGTGGAAAAGTGCCATGGATGAAGAAATGTAATCTCTCCAAAAGAACGACACTTGGAAACTGGCACAATTACCGAAATGTAAAAGAGCCATTGGATGCAAGTGGGTATTTGTAAAGAAAGATGGATCTCATAACAAGAAAGATGTTCGCTACAAGGCACGGTTGGTAGCTAAAGGCTACGCTCAAAAGGAAGGAATCGACTACAATGAAGTATTTTCCCCTGTTGTGAAGCATTCCTCCATTAGAATATTGTTGGCCTTGGTAGCACAGTTGAATTTGGAGCTAGCTCAACTTGATGTAAAGACGGCTTTCTTGCACAGTGATTTAGAAGAGGAGATCTATATGACACAGCCAAAAGGATACAAAGATGGTGGTTGTGAGAAATGGGTTTGTAAGCTGAACAAATCGCTATATGGATTGAAGCAATCTCTGAGACAGTGGTACAAGCGATTTGATAGCTTTATGAGGAGGCAAAAGTATAATAGAAGCAAATATGATCATTATGTGTATTTGCAAAAGCTCAAAGATGGATCTTTCATTTATCTTCTCTTGTACGTTGACGATATGTTGATCGCTTCGAAGAGTCAAAAGGAGATAGACAAATTAAAGGCTCAGTTGAATCAAGAGTTTGAGATGAAAGATCTAGGTGAGGCCAAGAAGATTTTTGGTATGGAGATAAGCAGAGATAGACAAAGAGGGAAACTTTGTTTAACACAGAAGTAGTATCTGAGAAAGGTATTACAATGTTTTGGCATGAATGAAAATACCAAACATGTAAGTATCCCATTGGCTTCTCATTTGAAACTTAGTTCTCAATTATCTCCTAAAACTAACGAAGAACGAGTGTATATGGCAAAAGTTCCATATGCTAATGCAGTTGGGAGCTTGATGTATGCAATGGTGTGTACGCGTCCTGACATTTCACAAGCAGTTGGAGTTGTGAGCAGGTACATGCATGATCCTGGAGAAGGACATTGGCAGGTTGTGAAATGGATTCTACGGTATCTCCAATAAACCGTGGATGTTGGTTTAGTTTTTGAACAGGATGAAGCACTTGGTCAGTGTATGGTTGGATATGTTGATTCCGATTATGCTGGTGATTTGGATAACCGTCGATCAACTATTGGGTATTTGTTTACTCTTGCTAAAGCCCCAGTAAGTTGGAAGTCTACATTGCAATCTACGGTGGCCTTGTCTACTACAGAGGCAGAATACATGGCAGTTTCAGAGGATGTAAAGGAAGCAATTTGGCTTAACGGGTTGATGGAAGACTTGGGAGTTGTTCAAAGTCACATTAGTCTCTATTGTGACAGTCAGAGTGCTATTCACTTAGCGAAAAATCAAGTCTACCATTCAAGGACTAAGCATATCGACGTGAGGTATCACTTTGTGCGAGAGATCTTTGAAGAAGGAAAGATTCTACTTCAGAAAATTGCGACATCAGAAAATCCTGCAGATATGATGACCAAGGTGGTAACAGTAATCAAATAGTAATCAAGTTCAATCATTGTTTGAACTTGATTAACATCCTGAAAGTATGAACACCTTCGGGTGTGTGGCGCTTGTGAGCGCAATTAGAGGCACTACAAATTTGGGGAGTTGAAGAAGTTGAGTAGGCTTGGTAATTTCAAGCCAAGGTGGAGATTTGTTAGATTTGTCTAGAAATTAAGTTGACAAGTTGGAAATTTCATCTTGGTTGGTGGCCAACTTATTGGAAATTTCATCTTGATTGGTGGCCAAACTTTGAACATGTGAATTTCATATTTGGTGGCTAACTTGTACACATTGGAAAATTCTTTGGTAGGTGGCCAAACTTTGAACATATTATTCTTGAAACTCAACTATAAATAGGCCTAAGTATTTCCATTAGAAATCATCCCAAAAACAAGTTCTCTCTTCCTCTTGTATTCTTCATTCTCCCACTTTAGGAATTCCAAAGAATTCCATTTGTTGTAATTTGGTGATATAATGAAGTTATCATCCGGTGTGGTGCCCGAGGAGTAGACGATATTCTCGTCGAACCTCGTAAATTTGGTGTGTTCTCTCCTTTATTGTTTTTTATTCGGTTCTTTTCCATTGTATTTCAATATTCAATAGTTTGACAGGTTTATCCGCTGTGCAACCTTTGGTGGTTTTAATCTTGACATTTTAGGTCAATTTTAAAACTACGTTCGTGTGGGAAATAACCCGTTTTCCCCAACAAGGCCATCCCCACGTTCCAAACCAAGCCTTCTCGAACCTCATTCCAGATAAGAGTAAGACCTCGTCAAAGTCGAGAACAACTAATTTTGTTGATTGAGTGGGGGATAACTTCAGACATTTTATACTTAGTGCGCAATAGTCTGGCCCAAAGGTGGTCACGGTTCCTCACTAAGCGGTAACCGACTTTCATGAGCAGTGCTTCATTTTGAGTATGAAGCAAGAGAAACCCAAGTCCGCCCTGAGTCGATGGTGAGCAAAGTAACTCCCAACGAACCAGGTTTATGTTTTGCTTCTCTTCTGTACTGCCCCAAACAAAGCTTCGGATAAGACGTTCAATCTCTTGGCACACTCCCTTAGGCAAATAGCAAGTCTACATCGCATGGGAAGGGATGGCTGCCAAAATTGGTTTAGCTATAACGATACGCCCTGTCATGGAGAGATGTTTAGCTTTCCACCCTGACAAGCGATCCCAGACTTTTTGAATTAGGTAGCGATAAGTTGCACAAGTTACCCGACGATGCAGAAGCGGAACTCCAAGATACCTTCCCAAATCATCAACACATGTAAATTGAAACCCCCGACTAATTTCGCCTTTCAAGGCTCCATCCACATTGTTCGAAAAGCAAATATTAGTCTTGGAGAGACCAACCTAATGCCCCAACGCATCGCGAAAATCTCCAATCACTCTCTTAATAACATCAAGCTGGTCTAGAGAAGCTTTAGCGAAAAGAATGAGATCGTCAGCGAAAAAAAGATGCGAGAGTTTCGGTCCCCCAAGGGATAAGCAAATTGGCTTCCAAGATTTATCATTCACAGCGCGTTGAATAGCTTGATAGAGCCTTTCCATGCACAAGACAAACAAGTAAGGTGATAAAGGGTCACTTTGGCGGATTCCTCTAGTCAGTTTGAAAGCCTAAGTCGCTTCACCAGTCCAAAGCACCTAAATGGAAACCGAGGAAACACAACACATAATCAGCTTTCGAAGGTCCGGGGGCAAGCCCGTATTTGAGCAAGGGCAAGAGGGGCAGTTGCCCGGAGCCTAAAATTGTAGAATTCATATTAATTAAAAATAATAAATTATTTGTTTAGTCACTCATCTATTATTTTATTTTTATTTTGGTTATTTAATTAATAATTTTTTAAAATTATACTCATCATTACATTTTAATTTTATTGATTATCCATCATTAAAAAATTAACAACATGTTTATATGATATTTTTAAATTATTTTTACTTTTCATTAAAATTGTACTTTTTTTGGCCATTAGAGATGCAACTGTTTAGGTCTCCCATTTTTTTATAGGCCCTTAATTTTTTTTTCATTCCCAATTTTTTTACATTTTTAATTAATGATCCTAAATTTTTCAATCTCACTTTGTACTTTTATAATTGAACTCCTAATTTTTTCAATCTCACTTTTTAACTTTATAATTGAGGCCCTTATTTTTTTAATCTTACTTTTTACCTTTATAATTGAGGTCTCTAATTTTTTTCAATCATACTTTTTACTTTTATAGTTTAAGGCCATAATTTAATCATTTTTATATGATCTATTAACGTAATATTAAATTAATTATTCAATGTATTATAATATACTTCCGTTTTCTAAGCGTCTATATTTTAGTTTCATTCACGACCTCGAAAATGTATTAGACGACTTTGTATTTATTAGATAGTTTATTAAATGTAATAAAATAATAATTTAAAAATAAATTTATTTATTTATTCTTGATCTTACAATTTAATTTTTTCGATACTTATTATTGGAGACCTAATTTTTATATTTGTCACACACCACTAAAATCTCATAAACGGTCTGTCCGAAGTATCCAATATCTAACCGAGGGAGCACATGAGTCGATTCTTTAAAAAAAATATGTTAATGCAATTTTCAGCTTACATAATATTCATTTAAGGTATTAAATTATGGAATTAAAAGGTAGATAATTCGGGATTGAGATTAGATTATGTCATAATGAGAGAGGTTAAGTTTACTTGACTTGAAGGTTAATAGAGATTTAATAAATATTAAAATTTAAAATTTGATTATTTAAATTAAAAAAACTATCATGAATCAACCGATCTTGGTAGTAAAGAAATTATTGTTATTTTTTGAGATCTCAAATTTTGAACGTCATAAATGTCATGATTTCTGGTCTATGGGAATTAACTCCACTTCAAGTTGGAGTTTTAAGAGACTTTTGAAACTCAGACCTGAGGCTCACCAAATTCTATCTTCAGGTGCTACAAAAGTCACTAAAATCTGAGATTCTATTCGGGAGAAGAAGGCAAAGGTCCCTTGGCAAAAACTGTTATGGTTTCCCCTGCACATTCCTAAACACAATCTGATAGCATGGATGGCTTTCCTTGATAAACTTCCAACAAATGACATACTTCAGCGAATGGGACTTATCAACGAAAGAATATGTGTACTCTGTAAATCTGAACAGGAAACAAGAGACCATTTATTTTTAAAATACCCAACTGCTGTTACAATTTGGACAACATTTTTCTCACTTTCTGGTTTACGTTTTACTGCTTGTTCATGGGAGGGGAAATCATTGCTTACTATGATCATGAAGATAGCTCTCAATGCTCTCATTTACACATTATGGGAAGAGAGAAACAAAAGGGTGTTCCAAAACCGAACAAGGTCTGCAGAAGCGATTCTTAAAGCTGTTAAAGATATTGTAAGCTTACAACTAAGCGGTAGGTCTATTAGTAGAGTCGATAATGTTAATATTTCTCTATGCAATCATTGGGATATAGTTGAACATTGATCTTCTTGTTTGTAGCTTGTTTTGTTTCGAACCTTGATGTATATTAAAGCAGATTCTGCTCTTGGATAATAATACCTGATTTATCCAAAAAAAAAATCAAATAATTGAGTATTATCTTTGTACATATATTACCTTATATTGTACTTACCCGTATTAATAAAACAAAACCCAAAATTATTATCAAATAAAATAACTTTAATCCCCTCTCCCTTGTTAGCTTCGCCATGATAGATGACTATCAAGGCTTAAACTATAATTGTTATTTTAATATCTTTCAAAAAAGACAATTGTTTGAAACTATATGGAACCGAACAACAGCCCATTAATAGTAATTTTATTGGACAACTAAACCCAAATTAAAAGAATATATTTTGGATGGCATTAGAGTCTTTTTACAGAAGAAACCCAGGTTACTATTGAGTAGAAGATTACTTCAGACCAAGGGAGAATAAGAAGATTACTTGACTATCCCTTTTTCTCAATAGCCCAAATTTAAGAATAATGAGCTCTTTGGGTCTAATTTATATAATTAAAAATATATATTAAACTCAAAAGTTACTCAAATCAAGCACTACAGTACTCAAGCCTTCAGTTGCTCAATTTCAAAATGCACCATAGCTTACTAAATTGGTGGGGGGGGGGGAAACAGATCCCCCTCCAACAAAAAACAGTTTTCTTTCCTAAATTGGAAAAAAAAAACGTCTCACAAGTTACAAACTTTAAGTTTAATGTAAGAAGGTTGAACAAACAGTAAGTACCTGAAAAACAGCAAAAAAATAGCACACATGGCAGATGATGGCACCCTTAGATCCATTGAAATAGGAGGAAACGCATCTCAACTGTCCCATGTGTGACCAAGCCCGTATGCATCCATGAATCCAGCTGCATGATCATGATCATGTCCATGACCATGATGGTGGTGGTGGTGGTGATGACGGTCAGAGTCTTTTGCTTCATCAAACATTTTCTGAATATGCTCAGGAATGGGTTCTTCCTCAACTTGTCTAACTGTTTTTGGCAATGAAGTTACAAACTGAGCTACATTCTCAGCTACTTCACCAGCAATACTTTCCTAAACATCACAAGCACACGGCAAACATGAATTCAAATGGCAGCAAATGCATGTAATATCAACTAACGCATGGAAGCCATCTAAGGAACTCGTTGATGCTCTTGAAAAAGATTTAAATTCCACAGGGTGGATGGATCAATGCTATGTTGGACTTGGTTAATGGCGATTACAAGTATGTATCTAACCTGAGTATGCTTAACTTTTTCTAAGCTATATATTCGGAGGAACATATTCTCAATATGCATGTTGGAATATGCGTAGAGCACAAGTGTTTAGAAGTTCGGATAACACAACACCTATGGTCCTAAAAGTTTGGAAGAATGCAGTTACCAACTGACACGCAGAGGGAGAACGGTATCAATTTGAACAACAAGAACATGAATCAGACTGTATGAAAAAAAACCAACCTATGTTGCTCCAACTTTTCATATGTTCTGAAGTACCTATGTCCATCACCAACATCCGATTCATACCCGGAAATGGCAATGGGGATATGCCCATCCAAGAACCCTCCAAATATAAGAAAACTGGGTAAAATTTTATCTGTCCTACACATACTCGTATGTGTATTTATGCTAGACTCTAGGTAACATAGGAACCAAGAACAAAAGTCAAGCAGGCATACAAATTTCTCAAAACTGAGCAAATGTCCCAATTTACAAGGTCAGTTTTTCATCTAATCAATTACAACCTTACTAATTTGGAAGACATTATTAGCAACCTTAACTAGCAACAGATTTCCCTTTTTTCTCAAGTAATTCAGTCACCATATTACATGGCCTATCCAGGTGTTGATTGCACTCTCAAGATATCAACTAAACAATCTACTAAATAAGTTCACGTTAATCAGTTATATACAAGAATTTACCAGGAATAGAAGTACAGAACATGGCTGTATATGAAAGCGAAATCAGAGGTCAAAATGTTAAGACACAAAAGTTGAAAGAATGTTCACGATATATCTTACTGACTTTGGCATGAGTGTTGGGCATGTGTATGGAAAAATACTCAATTTTTTCTTAGTTTTTTTTTTTCATGTATTTTTTTTAACAATACTTTTTTCATGTATTTTGAATGTTCATGTAAGGTCATATCCCCATATCCATATCTAAAGGTGTGCAGGATACGGGTGTGTGTCAAGTAAAATGATGAATCAAAGCAACATACATCTTGGTTTAAATTCCACAACCTAAATTTGGAAGAATGCAGTAACCAAGCAACGTGCAAATTAAGAGAAAATGACATCAATTTGAACTAAAGAGTAAACAACTCAAAGGTATGCAAAGAACCTAGAACAAATTATTGCAAATATCAAAGGAAAACAATCTATTAAAGACATACAAACAATCAACATACAAGAATTAGCCAACGGTATAACATGGCTGCATATATTCAGAGCATATGGTAGCAAAGATCAGAGGCCAAAAGAGACTTAAAATCTGACTTTTCCTCACTGATAATTTGATTCAAACAAGCCACAATCAATCACAAATTCAGTCAAGAGCGTACCTAAAAGCATTGTAAAGCAGCTATATTTTGATAATTCTTATATGTAATTATGTAATAATGTAAAACAATAACAACAGAACTAATATGTCGAAAGAGTCAATGAACCCATACCTGAGGCCACCTCCCACCAAAATGAGTGACAAATTTTGCACCAGGAAGTGCTTCGGCAATTCGTTTGCCCTCTTTACTCCATTCATCTGACCAGTCATTAGACCAAAGTACCTGCATTGGCATACCTTTTATACCATCCAAACCTCCCCATTCTTCTACATTAAAACTATGATTCAGCTTCTTCTCGATCCCCACAACAGCTTTTCTAGCCTCCCACCCCTTTAAAAGATATCTATGTGCTTCCAACTCCGACTGGTTAATCCCCTTTGTGCAACACAAGTTTATAAACCTTGCATAAACAAATGAAAACCTCAACACAATCTCATTAACCACAGGAATGTTCAGAACCCATGTAGGTAAAGCTGGTTTTAGTCCGGTATCAATAAGAGTTATGCTTCTAATGAACCTTGAATTCTCAGAAATCCAATTTGCAGCCATAAGAAAAGCAGAATCATGTAAAACCAAATGCACCGGAGCTAACCCCATCGTTCCTATAACTTGGCCCATAACACTCCCCATCTCTTCACTTCCGATCTCAATCACATTAACACTCTTTTTAACCAATACTCTAGATTTTATCTCTTCATAAGGCAGTTCACCAGTTTCAACCATTTGATCAAAAGCCCAAAACACACCCTTTTCTTGGATCAAGCTATAAACTTCCTTGAACCTCCCCAAAATTCCATTTGTCCCTTCTTCAACCTCTACCCTAGATTTATCTGAAAACCCATTTCCGGGTAAATCAAGGGCTATAACATGAACTCCTTTTGAGCCTAATACCTTTATCATTTCCCTATAGGAATAAGAACTCAGTCCCAACCCATGAACGACCATAACATTCTCAGATGACGACAACTGACCATTTTCAGAAACAAAAACCTCAATCGGAGATTGGTTTGGAGACGTTTGCACCTTGATGATTCTGCCATTTGAGTAGTGTAGGCGTAGGGGGTAGGGCAAAGAAAGGAACCAGGATTTGGGGTCTTGTGGGGACAAAGATGAAAAGGAGACGAAGAGGAAAGTGATGAGAGAGATACCGAAGGTGAAATAGAACCAGAAGGCAAAGGGATTTTGGGTTTGGGTGTTTATGGTAGGCTTTGGAGTTGATTTTGAAGGTTCCGGGGTTGGATTTTTGGGGATTTTCTGGTTTTCTTTTGGTGATTCTGGCTCTACCTCTTCTGTTATGATCGCCATTAGACAAGCATCAAATGTAAACTTCAACTTCAAGATCTAATCTTTGTAGCACAACGCACCTTTTTAAAAAGAAGAGGGTAAATTTTGAGATTTGAGATAAAGCTGGATGTCCACTTTAATAAAGCAAGTCTTTCTTCATTCTTTAACGGCAACGTGTTATTCTTTCTGGTTTCTCAGAACGGCACCCTTAGCTTTCGGGTTTTTGCTCGTATTGCCGCGACACAGATCAAAATATTTTGGTGAAAATATCATTTAATTTCCTCGTAATTTCAAATTGGATAAATTCATCCTTTTCAGATAAGGAAGACTAATTTTATCTAAATCAATTTTAAAGTCAATAATTAAAATAATTAATCACGATTTTAATGTATTTGTTAATTTCAGATAATTTTGACATAATTTATATTTTTTTGGAAATGTTAAAAAGGCATATTATTTTAATTCTTTTAAATTAAAACTAGATTAATTATATACATATTTAAAATAATACTTATTATTATATGAATCATATATATATATATTGTGTAATATAAACGTTAAATGAAAATCTGGTTTAATGGTTAGAGCATCCAAACTTTTCCTCAGCTTCTCACAACTGATTTCTTAACACTTATCATCATTTAATTGAAAGTTTAATTTTTTTTAAAATTAAATTAGAATTAAAATTAAGTTAATAAAATGTATAAATAATAAGAACCAAATATATAATTATATTAAATTTATTAATTATCACATCAATTTTTTAGTCAAATATTAGCGACAAACAATTTAATTCTATAATTTAAATTGTTTTTTTAATGTTGAAAGAGAAAACACAATTAACTCCTATCTTTCTACATGCCATGAGAGTGCTGTCCTCACTTCCTCGTGCACCAAATCTGCAACAGTCACTGGTGGATCCTGGTAGCTAATAAACGCAGGAAAGCTTGTTCAAGCCAGTCGTGCTATACGATCTGCAATCCGATTCCTTTCTATAGGAACATATAAGAAAATTGTCCGTTCTTCATTGTGAAGCTGCAAATGTGGTGGACCAGTGCGAGTGTAACCGGACTCCCTTAGGAATCCTTAATCGCATCCATAAAATTAAAAGATCGATAATTAAATTAAAATTGTCTTAATTAAATCATCATAGCTATAATTTATTTTAATTTTTAATATAAAACAATAAAAGCTACAAATGCATTACAAGTTACAACAGAGAGTTGAGAGACTGATATCAAATATGAGTTGAATATATTATACATATAGCGATTGGAAACAATAATTCTTTCGACTGCAATTTTTATTGATCAACTTGAATAGGCAATAAGGAATGGCTTTGTTTTCCTCCATCTTTTCCTACCTCAACACGTGGCACCCGGCTTATAACATTCTCTGTGATATTTGATCGGATTTCGACAGTTCGGCATACATGTCGGAAATGACTTTTCCGAAGCATACGTTTGAGTTTTCCGTATATTTGAAAAATTATATTCTTATACTTTGCCACTCTGCATGCATCAAACACAAATACGAGTGGACACTAGAGCAATAGGAATTATGAATTTAGTGATCTGAAAATGAAGAAAGACAGAGAAATAGAAGGAGAAATAACCTGGATACCCTGAGATGCAGCCCAACCTCTCAAGACATCAGGTTCCACTGCAACTATTGTTGCAGAAGACGGTTATCGAATAAAGCAAAATCACAACTGATAATTTGAGAAAATAAAAATGAAGATAAAAGAGACACAAAATGTACGTGGAAAACCCCTAAATAATATAGGATAAAAACCACGGGCAACGGTAGAAGAATTTCACTATGAGAAAATAGGAATTACAACTTCTCTCAATCTACCAAGGAGAAAGCAATGATAATTCTCTCTTGATAAAAAAGGAGAAAACAACTCTCAATAAACTCTCTAAATTCTCTCTAGTATTGGAAGAAAGCTAGAATGCTTTGGGATGGTTTTGAAGCTAAATGAGCTAGGGTATTTATAGTAGAAGCTTTAAGAACTAATCTTGAAAATACCCTAAATTACAATGACTAAATGTGAAATTTTTCCATGTCACTTTTCAACCATTATTAGTGCCAACTATGAACCATTATTGTTGCCAACTTACAATGCATTATGAACCATTATTATGCATTATACAACTATTCTTAGTTGTACGACAACTAATAATTTTGCATGACAACTAATAATCTCCCACTTGAAGATTTGATTAGAATAATCATATCTTCACACCATCCTTTCTACCTTGTACCTTCATGTTGCTTACGTTTCTGACAGGCCACAAGAAGATCTACACCAAGTAAATTTATCAGTGTTGATCACCTTCGTCATGAAATATGCTATGTTGTCTTTGGTATGGATCTTCTGCATATCTACCGTCCCTTCTTCCACCTTTTCACGAATGAAATGGTATTGAACTCGTATGTGCTTTGTCCTTGAATGAAATGTTGGATTCCTTGCTAGATGCAAGGCGCTTTTGTTGAGTTAATCGATTGACGGAATCGGCCAAGAGGGGGGTGAATTGGCAATTAAAATTTTTGTGGAAACTTTTGCAGAAAATTGAAAGTAATTGCACAGCGATTTACAGTGGTTCGACTTTCTCAAATAAAGTCTACGTCCACTACCTTAGCTATCCACACTAAGGATTTTCCAACAAATTCACTAATTTGTTCTTTCTTTTGAGGCCAAAGAGATAACCTTACAATTCCCTCAAGAGTATACTCCAACTCTTGAGAACACTCTTTTTCCCAAAGAGAAGATTACAAATTTGCAAACTTACAAGAAAACCTCACAAGGTAAGATGTTTGCACAATTCTAGAACAAGAAAATAACACTCAAAGAAAATTACAAATGAGCACAATAAGTGTTCTTTGAAAGCAAAATGAATATTGAATGAAAATTGGCTTGAATTGCACAAACTTTGTGTTTGATGCTTTCTCTCTTGTTTCTCTATGATTTCTTGCTGATCAAGGGCTTCAGAACTTGTTTAAATACACATTGAATCACTTCTGAACGTTGGGGATAATTAATGAAGATAATATAGCCGTTTTAGTGTGAAAACAATTAATAAAACAGCTTGGACCGTGGGGGGAATCGGTTCCTCCTTATAGGGAATCGGTTCCCTAAGTGTAAAATTCAAATATTTCGACCGTTGAACAGGGGGGAATCGGTACCCCCTATGGGGGAATCGGTTCCCTCCGAGCATTCTGGAAATCTCAGAGTCAAACCATTCAGGGGGGAATCGGTACCCCCTATGGGAAGGAATCGGTTCCCTCTGAGCAATCTGGAAATTTTGGGTTTGAAATGGTTCGAAATACTTTGAAAGATTATTTTGAAATTGTTTTAAGATTAAAACTTAATTTTACACTTAAGTAAGGATTAAAAATGATTTTTGAAATATTTGGAGTAATGTTTTTATATTCGAATAAATTTATTGAACATACTTTAGAAAATCATTTTGGAAAATCTTAAAATTCATTTAACTTAATTTGTTATATCGAAATATCAAAATGTTTTAAACAATCTCCCCCTTTTTGATATAACAAAACATTTTAGTAATTTTAAGCTTTTGAAATCAAGTTTTGAAATTACTCCCCCTTACTTTAACACTTCTCCCATTTATCATTTTAAAAACACACACTTAAACACACTTCTTCTCCCCCTTTTTGTTAAATCAAAAAGATTCAAACAAACGTGGAAAATATTAAGCCATTTGATTAGGTATATGTATGCATAAGCTGCTAAGATCACAATTAAGAGAAACGTTAGCCATTGGTTCCGTAATCAATATTCATAAATAATGTGATATGGCAAAATTGGTCATATTGCTAATAATGATGTAAATGATGCAATAACGAATAAAACACACCAAACATATAAGTTCACACTATCCATAAATCCAAAATCCAACAATCCACAAAATCAAACAATTCAAAATGTTGAAGCAATATTCATTTTGTTCAAAGTTTTAAAGCTAAACACAAAATCAAGCATCCGAATCGGTAGGAGGAAAACAGGCTCGCATAGCAGCCATTTCATGAGTTAGTTCATTAATACGAGCATTGGTTGCTTCATTGTTTGCACGCATCTCCTGAAGAATCTCTAATTGTTGAGCTCCCATTGTGGATAAATGAGACTCTATAGAGGAAAAGCGCGAATCCATTGTCGCATAACGGAAATCAAATATCTCCATAAAGGATTGAAAATATAGAGGCATTTGAGTCGATTGTTGTGCGTGCTCCTCGGGTTGTTCAGGTTCTTCTTCAGCTTCATCGATATCCCTCATTAATTGTTCAAACTCGGGATCTTCGTTAGCTTCGGGTGGAGCTTGTGAAGAACTAGCTCCCGGAGTAGAAGATCGAACCCATGCACCGGTTTCCTTATTTTTGACCCATCCCGTTCTTGTTAAAGAAAGAAGATTGATTTGTTTCTTAAGAGGAAATGAGGCATCTAGACCAACTCGGAGTTCGGCTTTAGAAAAGAGATTACTAAGGATACAACCGTAAACTAGTGAAGAACAGAGTTTCTTATTTGGCACTAAGTTAACGGTTTCAACGATCTCAGCAAAGATAATCTCGGAAAGGTTTATTTTTATATTGTTTTCAAAACAATGCAACCACCAAAGGTCTAAAGCTCTAAGAGTAGAATAACGACCCCCGGATGGTCGAAACCACCAAGTGATCATAAGATGAAGAAAATGCTCATGGAGATCTAAAACACTTGCACTATCATTCCGTTTATATCGTGAGCCTAAAACTTGTTTTTCGTTTGATAAACCTTCATTATCCAAGCCTAAGGCATTGGCTATGTAATCCGGATCAAGATGGAAATATTGACCTAGGAGGTAGGAACGCACTCCTATGGTTTTGGTTTTGTCACGATTTTTGATACAAACGGCATTACAGTAGAAGATACGAACAAGTTGATGATAGACAATGGGTTCAAGTTCGAAAAGTTTATCAAATTTCTATTCGTGCAAGATAGGGAGATATTTAAAGTTAATATC